GGCAAATATGTATAATTGCTTACCTCCAAAAATATTGCTAAAAGATATGCCACATCAGAATTACTACCAAGAGGGTGACTACAGTGCATCTATATATGTATGCAAAAAACATGCAATCAAAACATTAATACATACTTGAGCTTCATTTCTTCCAGTATTTTTTGAACTACCTTCACAGCTAAAACCATCAATAGATAAAGTGAATCCTTCTTTACAATTGCAATAATAAGAGCCATAATCATTAGTACAATTGTGTTGGCATCTTCCATTATACAATAAACATTCATCAACATCTATTGATTTTGAAAGTCATAAAGTTGTGTCAGATAGTATCAATATCAATGATAAATATAGACTTTTTACTAATGCTTATACCTTTGCATGTTATTCCATTGTCACCTAAAGTGTAACCAGTGTTGCAGCCACACTGAAATGAACCCACCTCATTAATGCAAATCTGATCACAAACAACTCTGCTATGTGAGCATTCATCATCATCTGAAATTTAAAATCAGTAAAATAAATTAATCTAAACTATAAGTTAAAGCTAACCAACCTATGCAAGTGTGATTATTGCTGCTATCAAAGATATATCCAGTATAGCAACTACAGTAGTAGCTACCATCAGTATTAGTGCATTGTTGAGTGCAGTTATCAGTGTCTAGCTCACACTCGTCAATATCTACATAAAAAGTAATAATATCCTTAAAGAAAAATATACCTGAACAGAAAATGCTTCCATTGTAGCCAGGATTACAAGTACAATAGTAGCTTCCATTTGTATTAGTACAAACATGCTGACAACTTCCATTGTTAGTAAGACATTCATCAATATCTATACATTACAATCAATACTGCATATATTTCTATAGGTAAAATGTACCAGTACAGTCTGTAGTGCTACCATTAATGAAATCATATCCATCATAACATTCACAATTAAAACTTCCAGGAGCATTAATGCAAGTTTGAGAACAGCCACCATTATTATCCTCACACTCATTGATGTCTGTAAATAAATCAATATCATGTGCATTGTACTAATGTATTATACCAGAGCAATTCTCAGCAGTAACTGTCAAATTATAATACCCAATCTTACAGCTACAGTAGTAACTACCCATAGTGTTCGTACAGATTTGACTACAGCCTCCATTATCATCATTGCACTCATTAATATCTAGAACAATAATGTACCTATGATTAAGTATACTTTTACAAGTAACACACACACCTGAACAATTGTGTCCATTGCAAGATAAAGTATATCCATTTTTACATGAGCAGTCATAAGATCCAATAGTATTACTACAATAATGATCACAACCACCATTGAACAAGCTACACTCATTAATATCTACATAAAATGCATAATTATTCTGATAAACACAGACTTGTTATACATAACTTTACCTTCTGTAATACACTTTCTATTAGTCAGGTAGGGCAGACTCCGCCTGACTAACCTGTCCTCACATTCTTCGGTATTATTAGAATCACATTCATTAATATCAATACATGTTACTCCATCACTGTCTAATTGATAGCCAATATCACAGCCACAAACATAACTACCAATAGTGTTATTACACAAATGAATACAGTCAGATGTTCCATCCATACATTCATCAATATCTTTTAAATAAATAATGGCATTTATAAAACAATTTTTTGCATACCGTAACAAGTTGCATTGGTTGTGGTATTCAATTGGTATCCAGAATAGCAATAGCAAGTGTAAGAACCTTCTGTATCAGTACAACCTTGTTGACAATTATCAGTATCAGTTTGACATTCATCAATATCTTGTATCAGACAATTAATTAATGGTATTAGAGTGACCATACAGTACTTACTTTTACATGATATTTTATTGGCAGCTAAAGCATAACCAGTATTACATTCACAATGAAATGAACCAGGATCATTGATACAAACATGATCACATATAACAATTTCCTGAGCACATTCATCATGATCTGTAAATGATCATGAACATGTAAATAAATAACTAAACATATTCTAACCTATACAAGAATAACTGTCATTGCTTAAGCTGTACCCAGACTCACAACCACAGTAGTAGCTACCAACAGTATTAAAGCATGTCTGGTTGCAGTTAGATACACCATAAGCACATTCATCTAATTCTAAAGATGTTGATTAGAACTATTATACTGTAAATATGAAATATACCTGTACAAAATCTACCTCCAGTGTAACCTGTATTGCAAGAACACTCAAAACTTCCATCAGCATTTGTACAAATATGCTGACAGCCTCCATTA